AACAATTTGAACTTCATTGGAAGATGCGCATTTTTAGGAATGCGCTTGAATTTATGCAGTGAAGTTTTTCGCTCCATGATGAATGTTTTGATTAACGAATAACTCAGTTCACGAACAAAATTTTCGACATAAATTTGCTTCGATTTACGAACACCATCAATCAGACGCAGGGAATTTTTGAACAACTGACCTGGAGTAATTCAGTCATTCATGATAGAACCTGTACTTAAAATGGTACTGTTCTACTCTGATTGGAACTGTGTTTGGGAAAGAGCACTTGAGGCCTCTTCAAGAACAGTCAAGAGACTGTTTCAGTCGCAGTTAATTCGAAGCTGGAACATGTCAATGATCAGGTNGAAATAATTTCTCGGATTTCTGCCCTGAAGTTCAGTGAGGGAGACGCTCTGCTTTTGATCAAACATCATATTCTAACTTTTTTAAATCATGCTCCGAAGGCGAGACGTATTCTTTCAATGACACTGTTGATATTCTGTGGTATCAATACAAGCTTACAAAGGGAAAGATTGGGTTGGTTGAAAAGAAATAGTTGATTACCCATTGGTTACCGTGGAAAACCATGATTCGATTCACAGGCAAACTGTTCGAACGAACTGTGCTCGTAAACCGAACTTGCAATGTATTTAAGCATTTGGAAAATGCTTTTATTTTCATTCATTTTAAGGGCGATTTCGATGAAGCGTTCGTTTTGAGGCGATATGATGATCGTTTTTCGCTGATTCTGAACGATAATTTCACATCTGAATGGTTCTCCTCATCTGTTCATGAATTATATCTCTATATAACGGTTGTGTGCAATCAACACAGCTATCCTCTGATTACCATTCGCGTAACTCAAAAAAATTCACATGCACCACAGTTTTACGGCCAGCAACCATATTCAATCGTTGTCGACGAGGTATTTTGTCAATCATAGTTACTGAAGCATGTTTTTTTCGATGAACAAGAGGACTTTGAAAAAACGCATTTGTATAAACTATTTATTAGGTCACATATACATGAATTTTAGAAAGCGGAAACCAGAGATGCATAAAATAGTTGTGGGAGTGAGCAATTGATACATTTTTTGGATGAAATTGGATGCAGTAAGACCAATGAAAACAAAAAAAGATTGAGTGACCTCAAGACCAACCTGAAGAAAATTTTAGACTGCAGCAATTGGAAGCAAAATCAACACTTCTGTATTAGCCGTCGATTGGGATTCGACAACGAAATATTCAATTGTTTACGATATTGTGGTTCGTTTACAGTTGATAATTTGTTAGCCATTCCTATGCGTTTTTCACATTCGGGTAACCGTGTGTGTTATTGATACTGCACAAAAATTGATTGAATGAAACTGACTGTATACAGCCGTACATACAGGGTATTTTATACATTCTTCAATCGCATTGTTGTAATAAAGCGAGGTTTCGATGTGACCAGTCAGATTTATATAACTGGATATCTTCAATAACGATCAGCTGCTGGGTTTATCTGAGTCGCTTGACAACCATTTCGAGGCGATAATTTCTGAGAGATACTTCTGTCTTAGAAACTGTTTGTAAAAATCGATATGAGTAGGAATATTATTCAGAACGGCAACGAGGATGGTTACTTCGAGTTGGATCGACTGAAAGCCACAATCGATGACCTCAATAATTTATCGATAAAATTCGATGAACCAAATTTGAATCCTGATGAAACGCCATACTTTGCTGCATTAATCGTAAAGAAAAGGCTCGACACTGGCAGTACTCCTCAACGTTTCAATTTTAACATTTCTGCAACGGTAATCTTGTTGAAGAGATGTCTCAAAATGAAATTTTATTTAAAGTTGTTTTAAACAATTCAAAATTGACACGTTTATCGAAATGTACTAGAAAGTGGTGTTGAAGATGGTAAAAGTGCGGAATATCTCAATAGTAAGAGAGTGATAGATAAGCGCATTGATTGTATGGTCAAGTCAAAAA